CTGAATGCATTTAGATTTTAGCATATTTGTCGTGAAATTGGGGTAACGATGCAAATCAGGAAGTCACTCTCACTGCCCGGGTTGTTATGTACGCCCTCACCCTCGGCTCACGCGGGCCCTGGTCCCGCACACGCCCCGTCGCCCACCTTGTCCCACTTGTTCCTCAGCTCGTCCATGGTGACGGTGCTGTAGGGGTTGCTGGAGCTGATCCGGATGTTGTAGCTCTGAATGACCTTCTCCACCTCGTTCTGGATGGCCATGATGGACTGCCGCTCGCCGTCCGCCTCGGGCAGCGTGGCCTTGAACTGCTCGTGGGCCGTGATCAGACTCTGACCAGAGACACAAGTGGGAAAACCGATCTTAGGTCATGCGAATGTCACAGTGTTCCGTGTTCCCGTCTACACACGCATGAATTTCTTTCCCTCCCTCCCTCCCTCCCTCCTTCCCTCCCTCCCTTCCTTTTTTTGTTTTGTTCATCCTCACATGAGGATATTTTTCATTGATTTTTAGAGAGAGTGGAAGGGAGGGAGAGAGACAGAGAGAAACATCGATATGAGAGAGACACATCAATTGGTTGCTTCCTGCACCCACCCCAACTGTGACCAGGGATCAAGCCGGCAACCAAGATACATGCCCTTGACTGGAATCAAACCCAGGTCCCTTCAGTCTGCGGGCTGGTGCTCTATCCACTGAGCCAAACCAGCCAGGGCCATGAATGCCTTTCTCCCTGCAGGGATCGCTGGAGGAAAACAAATCTGAATGCTTCAGAAAAGCTATTTTGTGCACAAAAATCAAGTTCTTTGAAATGGAAAAAAAAAAAGATATCATGGTGACTATTTAATCAATGGCTAGAAATCCAAAGTCTTCAAAAACAATGTTCCCTTTTTTAAGAAAACTCGTATTTGCTTCCATTATTCGCACCCCAGCTTCTGTGTCGGTGTCTCTCTCTCCACCGAGGGCAGAGCTTAACTTCGCTGCCCTTTCTGAGGACCGGTATGTGCCTTCGACGTCCCACGAAAGGAGCCAGCACTGCTGCCCTCACACCTGCAGACCCCCAGGAAGCACACCCCTCGCTCCCCAAGAAGAAAAGGCACAGACGCGAACTCTTGCCCTTCAGGCGCCATCAGACCTCCTCCATCCCACAGCAGCCTCCTGGGACAAAGCCACCTGCTGCCGCGCGAGGACGGACGGGTCCCTACCTGGATCTCCTCGATGCTGTGGACGATGAACATGTCCTGCAGGTCCTCCATGGCGCCCTCCATCCAGTTGTTGAACGGGGCAGCTCTCTTGGCAAACTCCAGGTGCAGCTGGTCGATGGTCTCCAGCAACTTCTCGGTTCTCTGGAGATTGGACAGAAAGAACCAGGCGCGATCACAGATTCGATAATAATAATAAAAAAAACTGTCTGAAAATGTGCATATGCATTCCAGAGCCACACACGATTCCCTGACATTCTGGGAATCACAGCATTCTCGTCATTAGCGCGTCGACACGCAAGATTAACCACGGTTCACATCATCAGGCTGAGCCCGGCAGCTCTCTGCAGTGTCTTCTCAAAGAAGGGTTTGATGACATCCAAAGCAGCCTGGTTTGGCCCTAGCTGGTTTGGTTCAGTAGATAGAACCTCGGCCTGTGGACTGAAGGGTCCCAGGTTTGATTCCCGATCAGAGCACATGCCCGGGTTGCAGGCTCAGTCCCCAGTAGGCAGCCATGCAGGAGGCAGCCAATCAGTGATTCTCTCTAATCATTGATGTTTTTCTCTCCCTCCCACCCCCATCTCCCTTGCTCTCTGAAATGAATAAAGATATATTTAAAAACAAAAACAACAACAACAAAAGAGCCTGGTTTGAAAGTACTTAAGAAATCCCCATCAACTGAAGGACTTGTATGTACGCATATGAGCATAACCAATGAACATAAGACACTGGGGGGTAGGGGAAGCCGGGGTATTGTCAAGGGTGGGGAAAAAAAAGGACACATATGTAATACCCTTTGTAATGCTTTAAGCAATAAAAAAAATTAAAAAAAAAAAAAAAGAAATCCCCGACATGTCACCTTTTAGAAAACTGAGATGCCCTGCTTGGTAAGTCAGAAGTGATCCCCTAACCACGTTACATAACTGAAAATTCAGGGCAGCGTCCCCATTTCAGTCCACAGTCACAGAGAGGATGCCTTTCCCGAAAGTCCCCACCTCATGGAGCAAGGAGGACTACAGGTTATTTTATAATTTTTTATATTTTAAATATATTTGTATTGATTTCAGAGAGGAAGAGAGAGAGAGAGAGAAACATCAATGATGAGAGAGAATCATGGATCGGCTGCCT